GAGAAACTCCGTGCCAGCTCCCATAAATATCCAGCAACTCTCCGCGCAATCACTCTCCGTGGCTCTCTGTCGTTCCCAAGGCATTTCTGCACGGTCGCCCGTCTCGCTCGCGCCCCCACGGAGGATCAGTTGACCGGCCACAGACGCCACCAGCGCCCGAGATCGTGTGCGACAGAGAGCGAGTGAGCGGGGGGCGGCGGGGTGGGCGCGGCTACGCCCCAATGTGGGTCAAATTTTGCCATTGAACCAGTGACGTCAAGGGACATTGACCGGATCGCCGCGAGAAAGCATCAAGAAGCAAAATCAGCAGTGTTGCGAGTGTTGGGGAATTTTCATTTATAGCCATACACACGGCTCACACACAGACCCGGGGAGAGACAATCTCCTCATCTTTGCACAGAGAGCGTCTCTGCCGCGCACACTCGCGGGGCCCAGGGCGCGGGGCCGCCGGGACGCGGACCGGCAGGGCGGAAGAGCTCACCAGCGAGATGTGTGGAGGCAAGAAAAAAGGCAAAGAGGAAAAAATCTCAGTGGAACAAGTTCAATTTCCCATGGAATGGCGTTTTTGGCGGCGCGACCGGATTTGCTGCTCGGGAAAGAGCATGCCAGCAAGGTGGGCTTCTCGGACAGCGCCGAGGAAACTGCTGGCCTAATGCCAGTGCTAGGCCAGTCTTAACCCTTAAGGACGCGACTCAACAGCATCGAGACAATGCGGTGAATATTTCGCTGTAGATATTCTATTTTTCACGAAATTTACCTCACTTAATACTGCGATTTATGTAGGAAAATCAAGAAAATGATAATTAGGTAATTCATAAGATCCTTAGTGAAACATCAATGATTTTTATATACATTTAGGTTCTTTTCTTGCGCATTTCCAATCACTAAACTGTTTTGTTTCACATCGAAAATACAGCAATTGACGAAAAATTTCCACGTGAAACTTGCAAAGTTTAAATTTTTCGCGAAATTTATGGGCTATAATTAGCAGATTGATTGGTGTGCAGCGAAGAAGGTGCGTATGGAAGACTTCTTTCGAATTCCTCAAGTGCAACCTTGTGTGTGTCTTTGCAAGACTCACTGCGGATGAAATTCAACCCAGCAGCAATTATTTTCACACCTTTATGGCCCCACCAGCATTTTGAGAGATTTTTAACCAATTTTATCGCCTTTTTCCATCCCACCACACTCAAAATTCCTCAATATTTTAGGAGGTAAACACTTCGGTCACATCGGCTCTTTGAACCTCGGTACTCAGCATTGGGCATGAGTTGGAGGTGCGCAAGGAGGGCGAAATTGCAATATCCAGGATAATCTCACCGATATCGCTCGATTTCGTGCTAATGTGAAGATTTCCAGAATGATTTAGCACTGGTGAGAGAACAATAAATGGTGGAGATGGAAAAAGTGAATCAAGTGGCAACAATAAGATTGTTGACCCACGATTTTTAGCTTTGTTGTGAATCTTCACTGTGATTCATTCGATTTACAAATTTAGACTACCTTCTTTCTTCCAACAAGTCTCTTTGTGCAAAGAATATTCTCTCTCTTTTTTTATGTATTATTCCGACACTTCCCAAAATCCATAAAAATGTTATTAAGAAAAAGTGAGACCGAAGTCAAGAAACTTCCATGAAACACGTTTAAATTCTTAGGGTCTTACGAAAATTGTGTGACTTGAATGAGGGAAAATTGACAGCCTCACATTCTATTCTTCCTGCCAAGCTGCGCTCTGTAGATTTCCTGGCAATAATTTGCAGTCAATGTGGTTATTGAGCGATCCTGTGGTAATGCTGAACATAAGGATTTTTTTATCAATGAATCCACAGAGAAAAAAAGCCAACAAGGAAGTGGTGTGGTCTTCAGAAGCACTGCACCCGGCGCTATTTCAGGTTTTTTTTATCCCGCGTCTCACCGCTGAACGATCTCCTCATTAAAACAGTGGCGAAGGCTCGAGGGTGAGGATAAAAAAGCCTCTTGAATGGATGCGGAAAAAATGCGGAATCGACAGCAGCTTTGCGATCGTGGTTTTTATTATGAGGTCCCTAATCTCTGGGGGCGATTTTTCAGGACTCTCGCTTTCTGTGTGCAGAAAAGTGCAGACGCGCGGATGAAAAAAACACACCACAGACGGCAGCCACTTAATTTTTTCCACACAGCGCGCGCCCTAATGGCGGAGGGTGTGAGGCCCGATGCGCGGCGGGGTTGGGAACAAATAGCGGACGGTGATTTGCGGAAATTGCCAAACGGTGCCTCAGGACGCTGAAAACATGTGGCTGGGGAAGTGAGAAGATTGCTCTGGAGAGCCACAAGATGAGGGCATCCACGCATGATGATTTTTAACAATTCCGGCCATGACAAAGGACGATGCCGTTTCCTTGCACCGCGCGCAGGCCATTGATTGACGCAGTTGGTTCCGTGTTTTTTATTCTTGTGTGTGCCCTAATCAAAATAATTTTACTTTCATTCTCTCTCGCCCAGAGAAAGATGATCGCGCAATCAGGGGGTGTAAAAAACAACATCAGCAATTTCGAAGAACACCTTTTGCTGAGAATATGGCAAGAAAAAATCCGATAAACCCACGAGAGGACAAAGGCAGCAGAAGGTAAGAAAAGACTCTTGAGATTTTTTATCACACTCTCTGGCCACACTCAAGGAGCAGATGATGATCTTGCAGGGACACATTTTGGCACGAGTCTCTGAACCCTTTGATCTCAGTCACCGCCTTCAGGAAATCATTGCAACTGTCGATAAAACGTAAGAAACATTGGCTGAAAGAGTCTCGCAGGCGTTTCAGGATATTGAAAGCAAAATGATTACTGCAATCGTGACTTTTCATTTCAAGATCACTCACACAATTCCTTTCTGCTTCCCTTTTCCCTACAACTGATCCCACGTATTTTTTCGCTTTCCTCCCTCTGTTTTTTGTACACACAGAGACAACAACAGAAAACCGTGGGTTTCTCGTGAGATCTCATCACAGGGAGGAACAGTTGCTCCACAAAAAGATGGCAAAAATGAAGGTGATCGTCGTGATCGTTAATGGAAGGGCGAAGAACGGGACTCTCATTCTCATCCTGGGCGGATGATGGTCGAGCATGTAAAAAATCACCCACAGCAGACAAGGAAAACAGTTGGAAGATCCGAAAAGGGAAGTGCCAAAAAAATTCTCTTTCGTCAGGAAGGCGGGAAAAAAAGTTAAACAAATTCACTAACTGTAAAGAGTCTGAAAGCATCGCAGGGATGTTTAGCTCGACAACAGGAAGATATATTCGTTGGGCCATTTTTCAAGAACCAGGAAGTGAGGTCTGCAATAAATGAATATATTGTTTGCCTTGCAATTGGGATGATTTTTTCTTTGAATAGGCGCCTTTTGCCACAAACAAGATTGTCCGCAATGCATTTTCCAGAAAGCGTGTGAGCTTAATAGATGCAGAATTTACGTGACTCCCAGCACATATGACTATCGGCATGCTTTCACAATCGACCACACCATGTGATCAGTCGAAAATGTGACAAGCGACGTTAGCGGAAATTCAGCAATCGACAGACACGTGAAAATTCATGTGCGGAGAAATGTATTCGCGCTGCACTCCGAGCATTGAAGTGCTGCTGCTCTTGTGCGTAATTTCGAGGCGCGATCGCGATCGTCTGATGGGAAAAATCTCTACGATCGCCTCTGTCACTCGCGCACCCTTTGTGCGCCTATGAAGTGGCAAAGGCAGATCGTGCAAATCTGAGTTGAGCCCCGAGTGAGAGAAGTTATTGACCGCACAAACAGTGACCCACTAACATCTGCAAGATCACTCACCTTCTGACGTCATACTACCATTGATTTTGAAAAACACGTTTCCGAGCCATACCACATTTTCTCTCAGGGCTGCACTAATAATGTGCAGCCAAGACTCTGTTGTGTGGCGGAGATTGAATAATAATTTCGCTATTTGCACGCATTTTAAATGTTTTCTCTCATTCTTTTTCCTTTCTCTCGCTTCCCAGTGATCTTCTTCACCTTCCTCTTTTGGTGCGCCTCATCTCTTCGTCGCTTTTTTTTCCTTGCTTTGGGCTTCGCGTCTCCACTGCCATTTCACACACGTCGAGAAGAGAGGGAGAGAGAGAGAGAGATGTGAATACCACAAGTGCGCAGGCAACATGATCGAGAATATATGGAGAGGAACAGCAAAATTGTGAGAGATTATGTGAAGATCATGATCTTCGCATGATCGTCAAGACAATTTGCAATTGCGGAAGTGAGAGAGAGGGAGAGAGAATTGAATTTGACAGTATGTGGAGGTTTTTCTTTTTGTCTCCCCACTGAATCTTCCACCAATTTTTGTGCATCTCACGCGCCTCCGATCGTGGCTCGTTATGCAACTTTTCACCTTCCCTCAATGCGACTTCTTCCTGGCCGCGCACAGCGCAAAAATTAATCATCGCGCGACTGCAACCGGCCAAAAAAGCAACAAGTACTGCGGAAAAAAAAGAGACAAAGAGAGAGAAAGAGATAGAGTGTGAGAGCGAAAAAAGGCACGCAAAGATCAACAAACACAACATGTAAATGATGTTTTTCTTATTCCACACTTTGTTTGTATCTTTCATAATCCTCTTCCACACCTTTTTCCCATAGTGGCATATTAATGTCGATAAAGACCATAAAATCCCATCTTATTGGTGCACAAAAATACCATCTTTTTTTTCAGCATCTCACACACTCCTTCTCTTTATCACAATTTGTGCGACATGTGAGATCGCACAGGCACGATCTCCACTGACTTTCCCACCTCTCTTCACTTTGTCATCAATTTCCACCTTTTATTTTTGGACTTGTCACCGTGTCGCCGAATTAAAAATAATATTGTTAAGAGGTCTCCGTGGGAGGGTGTTTTGATTTAATGAAACTCGTTTGCAATTTGCATATGATTATGCGATGGAAGTGTTTTTCGCGCTCATCCTCACCATCTGCATACTTTTGGGCGTTTTTAAAGCGCATTTAAATCCCCTTTGATTCATTCAATTTATTTCGGGTAGAAAAATAGAGATATAATATCCATACAGTGATGTTGGAAAGTTTTAAGGAATTTCACCTTCACAAATTCAAGTGTAGCTTGGCCAGAGCCAGAACTGGAGCTCCAGTTGGCATCTCCGGATACTCTCCAGCACTCGCGGCAATGTCCAAATGCGAGTACTTGAGCGGCAAGTCCGACTTGGTGCCGTGCTTGTCCAGTCCAGTGGCGAGAATCATGAAGGCAGCAGGACCCTTGAGAGAAGCACAACTGTGTAATTGCTCAATCCATCGCCTAATTAACTTACCTGGTGGCCACGCGGAGTCCTGGATGATGGCAAATTGTTGGCCTGCATCACATCTTCACCCTTGACTTTGCCAGAGTGGAAACGGAAGTCTTCCGGACGCAGAGTGGAGATCTCAAATGGCTCTCCAATCTCATCTCCAGTCTCCTTGAGACGCAGCCCATGTCCTGCCGCCCTTGCTGGCCCATTATCCATCACAATGGTGTATCCTTCGCCCACAGCCAGACAAGCATGACCCGTCAGCGTGGCAATGGTGTAGAGATGCGGATCCGGATACTTGCTCTGCACTGCCAACTCCTTCATGCGACACAGCGCATCTGCCATGGCCATGCGGCCTTCGGCATCGGTGTTGCCCACGCGCACCCTCACGCCAGCCCGCGAAGTGATGACCTCATCCGAGACGTAGCACTCCTCGCCGACGGAGTTCCTCACCATGCACATGGCAGCCACGACGTGGACATCGGCGGGAGCCCGCTGCGCCACCAGCGCCATGAATCCCGCCACAGCGGCGGCGCCACACTTATCCCGTGACATGCCTGCCATCACGCCGCCGGCCTTGATGTCGGCGCCGCCGGTGTCATAAGTGACGCCCTTGCCCACCAACATCAGCGTCTTCCTGGCCTTCTGCGGCGGCACGTACTCCAGGAAGATCAGCTGACCTGCACAGAGCGCGACAGAAGGAGAGAAACATTAAGCTGATAAGCTCCACTATATCTCATGAATTCTTGAAGGCATTCAGTTACACTTCTTTTACGCAATCAACCCATGAGACAGACACACACGACAAATTGAGCAATCAAACAATCAATTATCGTCGTATATTTCTTCTCCTGGCAAACGACAATTGTCGATAAAGACCCCAACCGGGGAGACACACATGAAATTTATGGGCGGAAAATTTCCTCATACACACAAATATCAAAACTATATTTTCTCTTGTGCATTTTGCATAAAAATCACGTCGCATTGACGCTCACAAAAGACCAAGAATATTATTATCGCTCGTAAGCAATTATTCACTGAAGATTGCGACAAATTATGCAAAGAACGCCGCGATAGACGTGAATTTTAGCATATATTCCTTCCCCCAGACTAAATACCTCCTCATTAGACTCTGATCACAATTAGAGACAAATAATAATAAAAAAGAGTGACTTTTTCTGTCGCCACACAAAACATAGTTTTAATCAAACGACAACTATATTATTGTAAGTTGATTAAATTTCAAGAAACCTTGATCACACTTTGGTCTTTGTTGTTTTGATGAGGATCCATGAACTTCATGAAGGAATTAATGGGGAAAATCCGAAGGTCACACTATTTATTGATCAAACTTCATTGATCAGGAAATTAATGAAAAATTTCAGATTTGCTCAAGATGAGGAAGAATTAATTAAAATAAGTGAATTAATGCATTGAACTGCACGATCATTTTCTATTTCAGGGATTAATATCCGGAAAATACAGTTTCCAATGCGGCATTTTCATTTGTAATGCTAATTCATCAATACTGTCGCATTTATAGCACGCAATTATATTCACTGAAATACTTCAATAAAAATATAATTGGTCATTGCATTTGAATAATAATCTCAGATAACACAAAAATCGTAATGTGCAATATAAATATAGAAAATAAAAGAGAGTCAAATTTAAATAAACAAATTAGTAACCGTTTGTTGAGTCACGCTCAATTTCAATAAATAAAGAAAGGCATAAAGAGATTCATTTTACCATCTTTGTACCGTATTATCGAACAGATGTTAACTGACTTTGTTGCATTGAGTTGTTTGATTGGATCATTTGGGCAAAATTCAAGGCTACACTTAATATACTCACCCCTGTGTCTCTCGACAGAATGCGCAGCCCGATTGACAGCGCTGAAGAGTGGATACTCCTTGACAAGGAGCACAGGATCGCTGATGATGTTGCAGGTCAACTTCGAGGGCATCTTCTTGAGGAATTGCTGCACATATTCCGCCACTCTGGGCGGAGCCATTCGCTCAGGATCGCCAACACCGATATCTCTGGCCACGTAGCGACTCACTTCAATCTGCTTGGCGAGGTCAAGGGTGAAAGACTTGCCGGCCGGGTTGAACACTCCGAGACAGCTCATCTTCTCCAACTTGGCCACCTCCTCGCGATACTGGATGGGCTGCAAGAGAGAGATTATTTGCATTGTTATCGCGCTTTCCCACTCGACTAATCTGTCTCCACTCACCAAATACAGCTCTTCAAAAGCACCCAGAAGAGTGATAAGCTGAGCATGCTTGATGTCGCTGTTTCTGGGCAGAACAATCACTGGACGATTGGAACCGGCCTTTCGCGCCCTCGCAATTGCCTTTCCAGCTGCCACTCCGTACTTCCTCACATCCTCGTAGTCAGACAATTTGCCCACCGGCGAGTAGACAATCCTCACGCCGAGAGTCTTGCTCCAAAGGCACGAAATCTCCTTCTCAAAGGCAGCATCGTACTTGGCGCAATTCTTCAGCTCCTCGCCCACCTCTGGACAATCGTCCACAGACAGGAGACACAAGCAGTCGTAGTTCTTCACCTCCTGGGCCAAATTTCCCAGAAACTCAACGGCACACGGCAAATAGCTGCAAAGAAGCTCATCTGTGATAGGGAAAATTATCAAAAGATCACGAATTACTCACTTCTGCAAATCCATAGCGAGACCGGAACAACTTCAATCCACTCTCAGTGATGTGTCCAGCGGGAATAAGTCAGGAACGGATGACAGACACAGAGCGCTGTTCAATTTGATACCAAATCCAGTCATATGTCAGAAGATTTCCCCAGCTGACGCTGCTGTTGATATGATTCCCGTCGAAGCGCCGCGAGATATGCAAATTCTATTTTCCATTTGAAAAGTGCGAAAAAAGTCTTAAAATTTGAAAAACTTTATTTTGTGGAAAACAATAACAGCGACTAAGCGATGAGTTTCCCCAATTTCCTCCGCAACTCCAAAACACACACAAATTCTCGATCCTCCGCACTGAAAATATTCTTCGCGCGTCGAACATCTGTTATATCAGAACTGCGCCATCTCTCGACTAATAGTTGCGCGCTTTGCGTGGTAAATTTGAAGAATAAAAATTGCACACTTTCCCTAAAATTATCAAATACGCAACAACTTTTCATTAGTAATTCATTATAATTCCCCTCATCACATCGCGCCTAATTGGCACATGATTAATCATTCTAAAAATAATGCTTTCTGCAAATTTCTCCAACAGAATCGCAAGGCATTTGAGTAATCGGAGCAATCACACCCAAAAGGAGTGCATTGCGAAATCAATTATTTCCGTAAAAACTCGTCATATATTGTGATAGATAGTAAATGCCGTGGTCAGTTATGAATTTAGGCATAAATTCTTACAATTCTTGGTGACCAAATAAGTCACTCAAGAGTCAATTCAAGGCGAAGGCACAAAAAACAGCCCAAAATCAATTCCTCACTCTCTTCAATCACATCAACTTCAGGAAGTTGATTGAGTGATTATAAATCCCAGCGAAATTAATCACAGAAAAATTGGGCTTTTATTCGATAGACAATTCAGTGTCTACAATTGTGATAAGAAATGCATGCCAAGAGCCAGAGTATAAATGGAGTGGAGGAAGCTTTCGGGCTCATCAGTGGAGTCTTCACCAACGAACCAAAATGAAGTGTAAGTGCTGAAGTTTCTGTGCCGCCCAACGAAGCCCTGGATTAAAGCTCTGGTGTGTTTCCCTTGCAGACGCCATCCTTGTGGCAGCGCTCTTCGTCGCCGGCGCCTTTGGCGCGCCCGTTGAGCAACATGAGCTTCCGCGCATCCTCGATCCGCGCTTCGTCTCCCACGGCCGTCCGGCGTGCCAAACAGCCGAGGAGATGTCCGTGCGCCTGTACAGGCACAACTGGGACCCCACCAGGTGGTGGCAGTGCAACCAGCACAACGTTCCCGCCGAAATGATGACCTGCCCCACGGCCATGCTGTTCGACGAGCGCTCGCGCACCTGCATTCCCGCCGAATCCTGGGTCTGGACGGAGACTCGCAACCCGCCCAGTCTCGCCGAGTGGAACGGAACTCCCCCACTGGACGGAATCTGCCCTCAGGACAACCCCAGCTGCCCGCCTTGCCCTACTCCATGCCCGCCGTGGTGAGTATTGTTGAAATATAAGTATTGTCATCGCAATTTATATAATGATGAATGCATAAATTGCAGCGAAACTACAACTCCGTGCCCTCCATGCCCGTAAGTATTGATAGGATCTTTGATCCGTTTTCAAGATCTATTGATCTGTTCTAACCACGAAACTCTCCATAAATTGCAGTCCTCCTGAGGAGCCACCCCCAGCCCCAACCACGACTACGCCACCGTGAGTGTCTGCATTTTAATAACCATTAAAACAGTTAAAAATCTTGTTTTAAGAAAATTTTTTTAAAAACAGCCAAAGTCAATCATAAAATTAAACTAAGAAGTTAGAAATTGATAAGAAACTGTTTCCTCGTCAATAATTATCCTTTTTCTTAATTTTTTCCAGGACAACAACGACGACAACCACCACTACTACTACTACGACCACTACGACGACCACTACGTGAGTATTGATCGGTTCTTAGACTTTGAGGATTATTTTACTAGTTGAAACTTCGTGTTCGAAGTCCGCTTAATCATAATCCCGCATGAATAGCCAATAATATATGATTTCCATGTTTTTCATCCCTAGAACAACGACGACCACAACTACTACTACCACTACCACTACCACCACTACAACCCCGTGCCCGCCGTGCCCTACGTAAGCTTTGCTTTCTATCTGTTCTTCAAAGTCACTGGAAACTATCCATAAATTGCAGGACACCCACTTGCCCTCCTTGTGAAACCACCACCACCCCGTGCCCACCCTGCGAAACCACAACCCCGTGCCCACCTTGCCCCAGCGACATGATCTGCGAGGCTCACCACATGGGACTCCTGTGGCCGGCCAACCGCGAAGACAGCTTCTTCGTGTGCCACACCATCAACCATCCGGCGCTGGAGATGTTCTGCGACCCCGGCCTGGTCTTCAACTTCAACCAGCAGACCTGCTCGCCGGCTTGGCAGATCCAGCCGCAGCCCCAGCCCCAGCCTCATCCGCAACCCGTCCCGCCGCCCCATCAGCAATGGTAGGCGATTGGACGCAACGATGACTTGACACGGCAACCATAGAGCTTTAATCCTTAATCCTGTAGATTCTCCCCTTAGCCACGTAGATTGTCCGCACTCTGTAGAGATTTATAAGAAATATACCCCACTTTTGCATTCCTAATCGCATGTTTCACTGTGCGGATTTGAAAATAACCCAGAGTTGTTGAATATTTAATAATCCCCTCTTCTTCGGATCGGCAAAACCCGATTGAATAAAAATAGAGCCTCTAATTCTCGATCGCGGACAAAACGCGGAGAGCAAAGAGTTGACGTCTTAACATTGAACACTTATGGCTAATTTATTTTCCCGTTAATACACGTTTACAAACTATCGAGACACACTAATTTAGAGCTATTTATGCATGTTTTCCACGAACATGTGACTGATCTCTAAAGTGAAGAAAGTAATTTGGGAAATGCTCAAAGAAATATTCCCAGTTTGATATCGCAGAAAATAAATATTGAAGAATTCAGCTTGAGTTAAGTAAAACGTCTACTTTTGCGGGATTTGAGATCAGCCGTCTACTCTGTGGCCTCAGCCTTCCTCTCCTTCGGCCCCAGCCACTCGTACTTCCAGCGCATGTAAGCCACAGTCATGCGATCCCAGATGTTCTCGAAGGAATCCATCGCCGGCCGAACGTCCAGCAGAGCGAACTTGTACTGATCATCCACGACTCCGCCGTCATAGTAGTCAATGATGTAGCGCACCTCCTTGCCGCACCTGTCTACGATCCAGTCGTGCCGGTCGAAGGGCAGCTCGTAGCCCATCCAGCTGCGAATGCGCGCCCGCGGGCTGTAATCCGTCGCCTTGCCGCCGAAGCTCTTGAGGCGCGGATAGGAGCACTCCTTGGCGTGCAGCGCCTCCCACTTGAGCACCTCGAGCCACGCTTGCTCGTTGTTGGCATTGTGAATCTTGATGATGTTCTCCATGTCCTTCTGCTTGATGTCGTCATTCTTCCAGCGCCAGCCCTTGCGCAGCATCGCATTCCAGAACATCTGCTGACTGGGATACACCCAGAAGTCCTTCGAGCCGTCCTCAGTCACCTTCGGGATGCTCGATGTCTGCCTCGCGGTGGGCAACGGGAAGGGCTGTCCCGGAGAGGGATTCTGGTTGCCCGGCGGCATCATGTTCAGCGGGTTCACGTCAGACTCCCCGTGATTCACCGGACACTCGCGCAGAACGGGCTTCACGTGCATTGGACACTCCGGAGGCGGTTGCTTGCCCATGTAATCGGCAGGATGGTGAGGATTGTGGGCGCCATCAGCCTTCTTAGTGAACTCCGATGCAATTATCTCAGCAGCAGACACGGAATTCCCCATTTCCTGACCACGCGTCTCTCAACACCTGCAAACCACGAGAATTCTTATGTAATTACCATGCGGCGTGAATCCAATCAGCCCCAGAACTCACCTCGTGGAATATGGCACAGTAAGCAGAAATAGAACAGTTTTAGAAGATTCCACAGGGATTCATAAAGAGAAAATCCACGCGGTTTTTCACAAACAAAAACACGAGTTTGGAGGCGAAGAAGAATCTTTTTGACAGTTCGTCACCGCACGTGCTCTTCAACAGTGGCACAGGCAAACTTTGTACACTTTTCGTACCCAAGAGATTGCTTTGAAATTCGATTTAGAATGCACACAGGCAATCTGTTGGAAATTGTGAGATTTGAGATAAAACCATCATCAATCAAGAATATATCCAAATCAATTGAAATATGAGATCACGCTTGGAAAATGTGCCGCTAACACGTGACACGTGCGATCAACATGACAGCCGCTCACCTGACACAGCCACAAAGTGAGGTTATGTTGTGAATTTCTGGAATCATCCTTGCAAAAAATATCTCGCGAAATCCATTAAAATCCCCTGTAATCTCATTTAATTCGTGTTGACAGGCATTGTGGAGTGTTTTCTGGGAAAACTGAAGTCAGATTTTTCCCAGGAAGACGGTTGAAAGCGTGAAAAAGCTGTGCAAAAAGGACACTCGCGGCAGAGCTGACCTGTTGAGTGCACTTCCCGGACAGAGACGTGTTGAGGTGGAAAAAAGGGTGGCGATTTGGAGTGTGAGTCATTGTGGCTGAGACATTAAAATTTACATAATTTGCGCCCATATTCTGTGCGCTCACACTTGAGGTGAAAAACGCATTTTGTGGCACGTGAGCTCAATCGGGGAAAATTGCCCGTTCGCTGGTGTCAGTGACGGTGTGTTATTTGGTGTGAGTCTGACGAAATGTGATTTTCAATGTGAATTCCTGTGTATGGGAGACGCGACGCGGAGGGGGAGGAAGTGGAAAAGCCAGAGAGACCAACACAGACAGCCGGAATTGGCACGTGTTTCATCAACGTTTCCTTCGTGAGCAGAGGAGGGGCGCCCCAAGTGAGAGACAAGCACACTTTTTCCGTAGCCCACAAGTGGCTTCACGAGTGGCCTGTGAATTGTGTCTCGTTATCGCATTGATATGCATGTGAGTCCGGATTAAAAGCGCCTTTTTCCACACGCACACACACACGCGCGCAGGGAGTTGAGAATACGCGCTCAGCGCGCCCCAAGAGAGGTATTTCTCCGATGCTTTTTCGGTGTATTTTTAGTCCAATTTGATCGGCTCAGCTGGAAGCATTGTTTTGCAAAGCGTTCGCAGCGATTCACAGGAAAATTCCCACCGCAATCGTGTGAGAGGAGCGTTCTAAGCGACGTGTCAAGAAGATTTGAGGAGCAGAAATCCTTCCACTGGACACACTTGTGCAGCAAGGATCGCGGGGAACACTGTGAGCCGAGTGCCACGATCCAAATGAAAATTCATGGGAGAATAATGTGCTTTGGCGAGTGTTATCAGAATCTAACTATGTGTGCTTGCGATAAGAACCGATGATTTGCATTTGAACGAGCTAGTGACTCACGGACAGTCAGTCAGAGAGCCAGTTTTCGCCGCCAAGAGGAGAGTCAAGGAAATATTTTCCACGCAAAGACAATTTTCCCGTGCCACAGGCAAAATCGCCCCAAGAGAGCCAAACACTATTCAGAGAGACTTAACATAGGGAGAGATAGAGAGAGTGAAGGAGTGTCGATCGGGTTCAGTGAGATTAAATTGCCCTGGACGTGGACAAAAGCATCAAATTTAATGTGTACATCAATCCGTATTTGTCGCAACAGTCGGGTCACATTATTTTTCCGAAAGCCACGTTACACGCATTACTGTTCCGTGTGGAATGTTATATTGAGTTTCGTTTATCAAAAGAGTGCGATTTGATGGCCTTAGCAACAAGTTGAGAAGCGTCACAGCGAAAAATCTTGTCGAGCCACCGCACAAATATCATTTAACATCATCGCTCGAAACACTCGGCCCGTCGCTTTTTTCTGTGCCTTTCCTCCGATATCCACACACCACGACAGCCGCCAAGTCAAGAGCAAGTGGGTGAGGAGAGTTGGACGAGTCTTGAGACACACTGGGACACAATCATCGCACCCGGACATACACTAAACAACGCAGGTCAGGAGAGCCTGAGAGCATCTAGCAAGCCACAAGAAGTCAGCAGAGGATCACGATGGACTCGTACTGGGAGCAGAACCACTTGCCAAATTCCGTCAAGTACGAAAAGTAAGTGTCCCAAAATGAATTTATGGCTCTTCCTCTTTCCAAGAGCCCCACTCGTGAGATTATCACGTATCGATGATGATGATCTCGATGTGAGAATGAAGAACAATGTCTAATTGGCGTATTTTTGGGTGTCGCGTAGAAGTTGTGTGTGGGCAAAAATTGCTCTCTCAAGAGCTAATTCTCCAGCCATGGAATTCGTATGCGCCTCACGTGACTGATATAAAGCGTACTGCTGATGTATACACAAATACAGTGCATGACGCAAAAGTGAGCGCTAATGGGGTATTTAGAGGCACTTGCCTCTCTCATATCGTGTGGAGAAATTGTTCAAAGGAAAAACACAACACTTTTGCTGATATCGCGCGTCCAACGGAAAAACGCTCCCCATCGCCAATCTTTGAATTGCCTGGGATAGAGGGAATTCGAGAGTAATATGTGGTTGGCCCTCGAGAAGTAATCGGCAAATCACCCAAAGTCACGTGTTTGGCCTTTTTAGCCTCCTTTCTTGCCGAGCGGCGCGCGCGCGCACAAAGATACTCTTTTGGGGTGGGAATAATCGTGTGGCCATTATAAAAAATTGCGTGGAATATTCCACAAAGATGCTCTATTTATCGTTTGTGAGCGCTGCTTCATTTTGGAGAAAAAAAAACATGTTTTCTCAAGAAGAGGCGAGAGAGAAAGATGTGTCACATGATTCCGGCGACACACACTCTTGACATGAAATCCAACAGCCGACTGCAGTCACGGTGCCTTTAATCCCATACCCAACGGGGGTTTCTTCTGCACTATCAGCACGCCTCACATGAGCGCAGGAATAGACGCAAGATATTGCCAAGTGCGGTGGGGATTAGCGGGGCACGGTGCCCTCTCGTGCTGGGATGGTCTGGAAAAATTCAGTTTTGCTATCGCACTACAAATGTTGCACTGATTCTGCGAGGCACAAGGTGTTATTATTGTCCATGTTGATGTGTTCACTGAACATTGGGAGTTCATTTGACAACAACACGTAAGAGAGAGAGAATTAGTGATGGTTTTTTTCCCTAAAAGTTCCAGTGAGAAAAACTTGCGAAAACCTTCAGATTCAGTTGATAAAACAAAACATTTTGAATGATATGCGGAATCTTTTACACACTAAAGACTTAACCTTAACCTTATTATACAGTTTCTGCTAAATGGCCATATAATAATTAAGCACTAATTAAACATGAATCTTCAGTTTTCCTATGACAAATCATTGGATTTCCTTTCAAGCCACTTTACTGCTATATTTAAATATTCACAGATTTGGCTGACATAGAAAATGCATAAAGATGGTAACAGTTGGAAGATGTTATGCATGTGCAAAGTGTGAAAAGAAACACATAGTCTGCTGATGCTTAGAATTTGAATGCTACAAAATTTCTATGCACTTGAAAATAGAATTTCAAATTGGCATTTTAAACTTTTAAATTGGCGCTAAAGAGATATTTTAAGACAAGCGTCTATCAAAACATCTCTCTTCAAAGTTTTCAGAATGTGAATTGCTTTTCAAATGATCGTGCCTTCGTTGGGAAAGATTTATTTTATCACTAGGCGTGAAACGAATATCTTCAGCTGAGATAAAATTCAAAGATGCGATGCAATGTTTAAATGGGATGTTGAGTGTGTGTTTTTTTTTTTAGAAGAAAGAAATATACATATAATGAAATATGTATTAATGTCGCTCAAGTTTTGAGAATGGCTGCATGGAGACAAAGTGGTTGGGAAAAGTATCGATAAGACATTACACAGTGTTTCTTATCAGCATTAGTGAATAGAGAAGAAATTAATCCTAGAGCGTTAATCGCATTTTCCATTAAGTGAATTAAATGGTGACTTTGTCGGAAATCGGCTTTTTCCTCGAAGTGATTTAATTGAAAGCTTGTGAAGTCGCTGAATGATTTCTGAAAGTCGGATTTGTAATTTAAGAACAGAAATTATCATTGAGTCATGACGAGAATGAGCAGCAAGTGAGTCCATGTTGGAGTAATATTGGTATGAAAACAACAGTCAGTGGCTCTTCTTATCTCACATCGTGAAGCTTTTATAGAAGGAGGGAGTTATAATCTAAAAATATAGCAATATCTCGAGAGTGAAATGTCACTAACACACGATTTGTGTACACACAACAGAAGGAGAGACAGAGAGAGAGAGAGAAGAAGAAGAGATTCTCTGTGTGAGGCGAAAATTCATGTCACGTTTGGGCACTTTTTGTGGGTATAAGAGATCTTTAGCAAAATGCTAATCAATGGCAAATGGGAATATAGTTTTCTGATCATTTGCTCATGACTCGCTGACTAATTTGCGCCGTGCTAAAAAGGGAATTTCATCAGGAGAGTTTTGCTTGAAAAACTCTATGTAACATTCGATGTTTCTTTGTGTCTCACAATCAAATTCGGGACACATGTTTGGCGGTCTTTGAGGAAGTTGTGAGCTAAATACGATTAATCAGGAACACGTTTTCAATGGCTGAAGATATTCGTTGATACCGAAAATCAATATTGCAGCAGCAAAAGTCGAGATCTCACGAGATTAGAATAGTCATGTCAATTAATACAATGGTCGTAATTTTCCGATATAACATCGTTTATATATTTCAATGTCAAGCGAATTTGTTAATTGAATGGGCAAATCATGGATTTCTTGCTCTTCCGCAAGAAGTGCGCCAAATCACAGCTAATTCTTCGATATGGTGGTTAGTCCCTCGAGCGGAGGTTTTTATAATATGGCATTAAAAGAGAAAAACAAGAGTGGTAATTTAAAGGATAATCATCACTCCAAGGATTGCAATTACATACAGTATAAATGGTGGAATGACCGAAAAGAGCAATTGCGAAGGAGGAAATTGTCTTGGTGTCTCGATTTTGAGCATAAAATAGCTTTATTATGTTTAATTCCGTCGGCGGATGATGGAGAGAGCGAAGACACAAGGTCGCAAGAGACAAACACGAGATCGCCAGTCAAGAAGTCAAATACAGCGCGAATTGTGCCCGAGTGAGAGACAGAGAGAGAGATGACGATGAGCCACGGGGAAAAATGTGATCATTCGCGATATTCATTGAACTTTTTTTCCTTCGTCAGACTCGGAATTTTATATTGGAATATATTGTGTATAGTGAAGATGTGACGAGATGAGGCATAGGCGATCTCTCTCCTCGGTTGGGTGTGAAGATTTGTATTCAAACAAAATAAGCAACACCCAGCAAAATTTACATTCTGACCATAGAAGCGCGCTCGCGGGAAGAACTCTTCTCGAAATAATCGCTGTTCGTGTCTATATTTGAAATGTCACATGGGGGGAAAATTCATAAATCACATTTCTGGAATATGATTTTCGTCATCAGAAATTAATTCACACGTCGGAATTTATTGACTTATGAGAAAGAGATGGACATATTGATAAACAACGTGAAGTGGTGGCGAAGAAAAAATCACTGGTGAATCACATTCTGCTGATATGCCATATTTTTTTCGCTCACTCTTTTTTTAAGGTGGAGAATTAAATGTCTCGATTTTGAGGACAGGGCTGAAGTGGGTGGAATTTTTCTTTGTCACCACGCGAGATCCTTGAAAGTATGACTGCAAGATTCTTATATGCTGTGTATTTGTGTGCAATTAAACTGGTGGGTAAACACTTTATCACACATTTGAAAAAAAAAAAAACGGTGACGTCGCAGAGGGACAGACGATTGATACAAAGATTGATGGGTTTTCAGCACTGCGTCAAATGTAATGTTCACACATTTTTTGATATTTTTAGTTTTGTAGTTGCAGTAAGTTTGACAATTTATTGCTTTCTCAATGAATGCTGAAAAAGAACGCCAAGGTTGTGCGAATTTTCTGAAAAAGCAGTCCCATTCAAATTTCGACTCTCCTTGTTTTCCCAAAAAAAGGCATTCAACTGTGTATAATTGATCGGAATTGTTGTGATTTGTGGTGAAAACTGTTCACAATTTCAGACAATTGGAGACTTGATAAGTCGGGATATTAATAGAATTTTACTAGAAAGTAATTGAATTATTGAAAATACTTGTCACTCGCATTTAATTGTGCTTTCAGTTGAAAATATCACAAGATGACCTCTAAAATCTCCAAAACAATATGGCAAGAAATATGATCAATTTTAGAAATGAATCTTCAAACGAGTTTAAACAATTTACCTAAATTTATAGAAGCATTTATGTTAACATCAATTTACTTATGTGACAATTAGTCAATTTTCACTTCATCATTATTATTACTTTCGATAGTGCCTAAAAGGAGATTCCATGCGAATTGATTGACTATCTAATTTGCATACTAATTTTAGACACATTCATGGTTTAAGCAGAGTCTTTGATCTTCAAAAAACCGAATGTAAAAATTCCGAAAATTTTCCACAACACGCTTCATCAATACTTGTCACGTGTGTCTGCAACATCTAGTGTTTTACATAATTAAAACGCTTATGATATGGTCATTTGTGAGACACAGATCATAGAGTGATTTATTGGCTATTGACTAGCAAGGCTTGCGAGGGTTTTGCCAATGCGCGAGAAGAGGATGAAATTCACTGAAGAGAAGAGAAGAGAAAAAAAACTGCAGAGGCTTAATTGGAGCAATTGAATTAAGTCAATTAGTCGCGCGAACTTCTCTCAGCTTTTCTCTTGGTCTCAGTGTCAGTGAGAATGATTTAATTGGGCATCAAATTGCTGAGGATAAATTGTCCAAATCTCCTTTAATATGTCTTCGAAATATATGTGATTGTGTCATGAGCTTAATCATGGGCAATTTCTCTCTCTCTCTCTTTCTGGCCAATGCTTTGGACATTTTTGATTGCGGAAAAATCCAATGTGTTTTAAATTGAGAGTGATTTGCCATCAGGGATTGAGAGATTTCGTCTTCCCGGGAAGAAGAGCGCTTGGTAAAGTTCATGGAGAGACATTTTCTGGTTTGGGTGTTGTGTGTGAGAATGTTTTTTTTGAAATTCTCGATCAGCCGTCTAATAAATGATCGCGCGCGATGGCGAGAATATTGGCTTTGGGTGAATATAATGGGAGCGAACACAGGCGCTAGTGTGGTGTGAAATATTAAACGGTTGAATTCCTAATTCATCATTGATAATAATTTTATCAATTTAGTGGCGATATCACGGCAAAAAGTGAGACTGGCGAGTGAGAGGGAGTCACTCAGGAGCGTGACATTGTATCGCCCGAGTGTACGTGATATATGGGATGGAATTGTAAACTCGTGTGCCCGCGAGAGCTCATGTGGGTGGGTGGTGATGTGTGGTACGTTGGTTGGCGAGAGCGAGAGCGAGAGGGAGTCAAGGAGAGTGAGAGGAAAAAGTGCGAGACATTGGGGATTTTGGCGCACGGCACATCGCTAAACTCCCAAGCTCTCGCGTTTCATATCGCGAGACTTTTGTCATGATCGAAGCCCAACATGTAATCGCGCGCCGCCGATGGAGTGCCTCTCCAAAAAAGCTCCATCTCCTTCTCACATTCATTTGTGCAACTTGGGGGAATGGTAATAATGAAGCAGACACTAATATCGAGAGAGTCTCATTCCATTATCACCCACCCGATCAGTAAATATTTACCGGGAGCCTCTCGTGATCACATTTGCTGCTATGGTAGCAAAATGCCAGGCAATGTTCGGGGCCCACAGAAGTTGTGAGCTGAAAAGCTACACATGAAATCCTCGATTTTCAATCATTCGCGCGAATTATGATGATCTCACGTTTTTTTCCACTCTCAAAACTCCTTTTTCTCTTCATTATTCACCACACAAAAACGCCCTGACGAGAGTGAGATAGAGAGAGATATTTAATTTCATATTAAGCAATGAACTTAAAAAAATTTATATATATATATATATAGTAGAGGAAAATTTTTGAGCACGTATCAATTTTGTGTTTGTTTTTTTGGATTGCATAATGCAGACGAAGTTTTGCGCGAAAATTTTGCACAAAACTAAAAATGATATTTTTGCATGATTTCGCACACATTCTCTCTCGCAATTGAATGTTATTATAATGTTGATTTAGCTTCTGTATTTAATTCCATAGCGTTATGAACTATTTTTGGAGTAAGAGTTTGTCCAAAAGCCACCATACTCAAATAAACATATTTATCTAAGAAACGCTCTGTGATTATTTCTGAATGTTGATAGAATACAGAATTGCTACTAATGTGTATTCGTGTGAGTTTCTATGGAGGCACAATTAAAATGGAAATCAGCTTAAAGCTCTCTTACGGAATGGGATTCTAATATTGGCGCATTCCTCTTGAAAGTTGTAGTTTAGTCAACAGGTATATAATTCTGTAGAATTGTCAGGAAAAGTCAGCCTCTGTCTAAATCTCACCCAATTTTCTGCTCTGTCGTTTCAGTGAGATCAATGGCGGTCCGTATCCGTACTGCGAAACTGGTCTGAATTTCTCCACAAATGCCACGTTCAGCGAGGATGATGCTGAGTATCACGGTCGCCGCGGAAAAACATCTCGGGTAATGGCCTGTCGCAGAGGCGTGTAGATAACCAACAATTGCGCTCATCGTGGTGTTTTCTGTTCTGCCATTTTGCAGCAAGATCCACTGTCGCATCGGATTATTGAGAAGCGTCGACGCGATCGCATGAACTCCTGCCTGGCTGATCTGTCGCGTCTCATTCCGCCACAGTATCAGCGAAAGGGTCGCGGACGCATCGAGAAGACGGAAATCATCGAGATGGCCATCAGGCACATCAAGAGCTTCCAGAAGCAGGAGAGTGTGTGCCGTGACACGATTCTGGCGGATAGATATCGTCGCGGGTACAATGATTGTCTCACGGAGGCGGCCAAGTTTCTTGTGACCATCAATGATGAGTTCGATACCATTTGCTACAAGATGATAGAGCATCTCAAGGAGCACTGCGGGGAGGTGATGAAAAGTGAGTTGACCTAAAAATAGTCCCTCTCTCTATATTGGCTTGATTAGAAAAAGAAAAACAACAGACGGAGAGAGCTTAAGAATGTGCTGTGCAAGTCACACACAGTTGAGATAGAGCAAAAATTCCCCAATCATATCAATAATGAGAGGCTCATAAAAGTTCCCAAAAAGATTATTTATTTCATAACAGATCCTCATTAAAGAAGACAACTTGATGAAGGAATTGACGGGGAATTTCAATTTTTTCGGGCATAACTTGCAAAAGTGCGGCAATTTCATGAAATAATCGCATGAAAAAGCTCAATTTATCGAGATGTTTCACATTGAAATTATACTCAATTCACCTACTTTTCCACATTTTATGTGATTATTTCCAACGAAAAAAAATGTCCAATAATATCTCTATTTGCTGCAACAATACAAAGTGTTAATTGTACTTTTCAACACACAGAGATACAAATTATTATTGTTCTCCAAAGAGGCAGAAGAAATTTTATATATGGTAATTACTTTTCCACATGTGAGATAGAATTGGGAAAGGCGATTTTGTCAAGGAGATTTATCATGGGGATTTGTCTATCAGTTTTTTAATTAACGCTATCATATGACGACTCTTATCATTTAAAGCGATTTTATCTGTTTTTCTACCTCGCACGTCAGTTGGTGTTTCTTCTGGCAAATGCTGTTCTTCCACTTATGAGCTTAAGGAGAATGAAATATTTATGTGCAATCCATCAAGAAAAGAAAGAATATTTGCACAATTTATGAATGAGAAAGTTGGGTAATTTTCGCGGGGGATTTTTTTTTCACACGATGCGATCTTTATGATAACGAAAAATAATAATGAAAGCCAGAAAAGGTGGTGAATTGGAATTTCATCAAGTTTGTAATCACACATGAAATTGGGATCAGTTTTTGTGGCTCAATGACCTCAAAGGTCGAGTGGATTTCTTGCAAATTCCTTGTAATGATTGGCGTTCTCTTTGACTCCTCAGGCGACTATTGCAAGTCTCGCGAGTGTCTGGAGCCTATGACGAATGGTGGCAGCGCCTCCTCGCCGTCGCCGCCGAGTGGATATCATCAAGGAGCGCCGCTGTCGCACCTGCGAGACATGCTGACGTCAGACCTGGAGCACAGCAGCAACGACACGAGTGACGTGAAGGACCTGAGCTTCCGGCATCAGCAGCCACAGCAAGCGCCCGTGATTACGTCCACGGGCGGCCCGGCGGCGCCCATGGACACCCACCCGCCGCCCGACAGTCAAGCGGTAGCGCACCAGCATTCCTTCCACGCTCCCGAGGCCGCCCGCCACGCTGAAGCCGCCGCCGAGGCGGCCGAACACAACAACAACAGCTACAAGTTCAAGAACTACATTCAGCAGCGCTTCTCGCAGGACAGCCACCATCTGCACGACGAGGTGGCGGTGACCAATTGCAGTCACAGCAGCGAAGGCAGCGAACGCGACAGCGGCGTGCACGCGGGCGCGAAGGGATTGTGTGCGGAGAACAGCAACAGCGGCGACGAGCATCCGGCGGCGGACCTGAGAGCGACGGCCCAGACGGCGCCCAAGTCCACCGCCGCCCGCCACCCACCAATGGCTGTGCCAATCTTCGCGCTGCACTCGCAGGGCACGTTCTACGTGCCGCTGAGCGTGGACTACGACGCGCTAGTGCCATATCTGGGCCACGCGGAGCTGCTGGAGAAGAACTACGCGCCTCACGTGCCCGTCCACCCTGTCAACATCCACATTCTGGCCACACCACCTGTGCGTCCCGACGCGCCGCCCCGGCACTCCTTCCTGCTCAAGCCAAAGCTGGAGGGTCTCATCAATGCGTGGTGAGGAGGAGGAGGACATCTATAAGCTACCCGTACACATACAGTATAATAGACATTGGGGTGTAGAGTCATGCGGAGAGACACTGATTGAATATGATATAAAAGTTCTTTTGTTATCAAACCAGCGGCTTTTACTTCTCTATGGCCTTTAACGTGCTTTTCAGCTGAAACGTGGAAACTTTTCCTAACGTGATTCGAATGGAAAGGTGAGTCCTTTTCCTAGCACATTTTAAAGAGACTTTGCTCTCTTGCAACACGCGCATGTGATACAAATTCCAGCCAATTAATCATTCGATAGATTGAGAAATGAAGTGACTTGGAAAAAGAGAGAAAAAACAAACTTGATGTGAAAGAACGCATAGAATTTGATTCCTCCAGAAAAGTGCTGAATAGAGAGTAGACTTTGACACCACCAACGAAACTCCATGGAAATCCTTATCAACTCCACTAATGAAAACATGCAGACATTGACAAAACTCGTAATGCGTTATTCCATATCTTTAATGGTGAATAACTCAAAAAAAAGTTGATTTGTGTGTTAGTATCGGCTGCTAAAGTCAAAATGATCTCTCGGACGAGTAAATCTACCATTTCATGTGTGTTTTTCATGTGGTCTCTTTTCATAGCCACAATGTCCAGAAGAAGCGAAGAAAAACGATATACAGGAAAGTAAAAAGGGAGAAAATGCTGAGCTCTCTCTCACATCTTGTTATTAATTCTTCTTTGTACGGCGCTTTGACGAGAATTGAGATTGTTGATTTGATCCACCATAGAGATTTGTGAGGAAATCATCTAAGCTCGGACGACTGAAAGTCAAATTTCAACAAACATTTTAAATTCAATCTCAAAGGTGAGAGAAATTGTGTAAACTCACCTGAATTGCGAATCCTTCTTCACCTCCTTCTTGTCCACACCACTGCCGCCAGGCTGATTCTGCTGCTGCTGCTGTTGCTGTTGCTGCTGCTGCTGATTGCCCAGCACAATTCTGTACTGCACAGAGTGCGAGTTGGGCTGCAGGTGCGACAGAGCGCCCTTCTGGCAGTTTGCCCACTCAGTAATGTCGTACACGTTGCCCTCCATCAGCGCCAAGTACTTCCAGCAGATCCCCATGAAGCTCGTCTCTGCCCAAATGTCACCCTGCAAATCGGCACAAACACACACAAAGAGACTCAGGCATGAGGAGAGCAGCTTATGTGAATCACGCGTGTTGATTGCATTCATGAAGCAAAACGAGGGATAAAACGTGACCGTAGACGCCAAATTGAACTCAGGTTCAATGGAACGAGATAAATTGAGGCTCTCACTCTGTGACGCTCGTGTAGATAATTATTGATAAATTGCCCGACAGTGTGTGGTGTGGTGTGATTGGAGAAAAACACCCAAACGCCATTATTAAATTAAATATTTAACATTATTTAAGCGCAGTGTCTCCCTTTTTTCCACAAAATCAATATATCGCCAATTTTAAAACACACTCTCGCCACCGAACAAGATAACTGACCTTTGAATACCTCGAAATTTATGCCCATTCAACTTCCTTGTCTTCCACTTTTTTTCCCTGACAGAGCGGAGAAAATCATTGTTGAACTTGCACAATTGTGATTAATTGTGTAGTAATATTAAAGTTAAATAGAAGACGAAATAGGACAATTTGAAACATAATAGAGTGCTTGACCTAATAAAGGTTTCCCTTCTCTTCCAGACTCATGTTTGCTCGTGGCAATCTAATATAATTAAAACAAGAGCAAGGCTATTTGAAACTACAATTTTACAGAATTCCAAATCCCAATGTCACGTGAAATTTACTAGAATATCGACTTTAACACGTGTCTTTTCTCTGAATTTCATTTACATGCTCTGACGCAGCCTTTTATTCCAATTTCTCTAGAAGTAAGACAAATGCAAGATTATTCCGGTAAATTCCCAACACACTTCAATAAAACCATTTTCAGGGAATCGTCTGCGATAAACCCTTTACGTAACTAGTCAGACATCAAATTGAGATTCTAGCTTAAAATAAGCGAGAAACACCTGATACAAGACAAACACATGTCAATAATATCTTGCGAATAAATATTTTTAGAGAAGCACGAGTTCCAAAATAACCTGATCTTTTGTCAAGAACCACGTAAAAACCTTCCATAGCCCAAAAATAATTCCAAACAAGGAATTAAAGAAATACACACATTATTCACTCTGCCACAAATTTGCACGGACGCACATTTGAATAATATAACGTTGGGCGGCAATTCCAAGAAATTGTCACACAGAAAAAAAATTTGCGCCAAGAGAAAAAAAAACGATAACAACAAAGCCAAATGTGTCAACACAAACCTCTCTGGCTGAGTGGCGAATTTTGCACGAGTTGCACTCCCTGGCGGCATAGTGGGGACGCCCGGTCGGTTTCCGTGGATGCCTCAAGCCGCAACTGCTGCAGCTGTAGCGGAAAAAAGTCATTAGCATATTGATCATGAAAAAGGGGGAAGAGAAGAGAATATATGACCCAACACTCACCGAATTGTATTGGCCGCTTCAGCAATTTTCGTGTGAAGCTGAGTCAGAAGATCATTCAACTCCGTCCAGGCTTTCTCAGCATTCATCGCCTCAGCCAGATTTCTCTCGTAGGCTTGTCTGTTCTCCTATTTTCCCCACACAACAACATCACAAACAATTAGCTTTCCAGTAAGAATATATAAATCCAATAAGAATTATGGGAAACTTACAGGCTCTCCAATAAGTTCAAATGCCCTCTGCAGAACCTTGAATGCCTCCTCAGCTCCGGGCTGTTTGTTCTTATCCGGATGCACCAGAACGGCGATCTTCTTGTAGTGCTTTCGTATTTGCTCCTGAGAGCAATCTTGACTGACACCCAGAATGCTGTACGCGTCCTTCCCCTTGCAATTCAGCAATGAGTACATCGCCTCCTCGCCAGTCTGCGGAAGTCTGCCGTTCTTGTAGAACTCCTGGCCGGCACCCGGTGCACCCAGTGTCGCCTCGAAGGGTGGCTGTCGTCGGAAGATTCGCCTCCAGAAGGCCCATCTGGAATTCTTTGGGAACTTTCTGTCCACAAACGCGAGGAAGCGCCGATGGAGATTGGCACTGTTGCGCACCTCCTTGCACACCGTCTTGTAGTGTTGCCGCACAAAAGCATAGCTGGAGCACATCTTGTCCCACACAATGCCATAGCTCAGCCACACAATGTCCGTGACCAGCGACACCAGCCACAGCACCGCCTTCAGCAAGTAATCCAGCCACAATTCAAGCATTCGCATCAGGAAGACGTACTTGTCGTTCTTCTTCTGTCTCGCATTGCGCCTCGACGTGTACACTGAGTTATTATCGCCACGACTCCTGTTCACCGACGTTCTGCTGCCCGATCCTGAATTCCTGGAGCGCGTCTTGTTGTTCATCAGCACCGTCTTGCTCGACTTCTCCACGTAACTCCCGTCATTGCTGTTGCTCGTCTGGGCGACATTGTAGAAGAAGCCCATCTGATCTGTCTCGTCATTCTCATCCTCATCATCAATCTCATCCTCCTCATTGTTGTCCGACAGATGATTGTACTTGGAGTTCTTCGGCTTCTGCTAGAAGAGAATCGCATAGGAAATTAGAACTCTGAGGAAATCTCTCATCTAACCTTCCGCCAACTCTGATCGCTTGAATACTTTTACGAGTTAATTTTCTCGTGCTGAATAAAACGTGAGAATTCTAATCAATGTTGCTACTATAGTTCAGCCAAATTCCTCACATAATCGATTCTGCAATTTTTTTCTCTCACTCTAAAAACAACACCACGAGCAACAATAAAAATCCAGAACATCATGGAAAAAGGTTAAGAATGCCACCGTCTAAACATGCAAATACCATAAATATAGCTGGAATTTACATAAATTAATAAATGCTATTTGATATATAAGAATGATATTTACCCGATTTCCGTTGGGTTTCCCGTTCTTCTGGCCACCCTTGGCCGACTTCTTCTTGGCAGTTTTCGACTCCTTCTTGGGCTCCTTCGAGTGGCTGTCGTCGGAAGCACTCTGGGACGCTGTATCCTTGGCGGCAGTGGCTTGGTGGGCAGCATGAGCACGATCATCGCTCCTCACGGGCGGCGGAGTGGAGGTGGAGCTCTTCTTCGCCTTCCCGGACACCTTCTCCTCCGGTCCGTGCGTCTTCTTCTCACCCGGCTTGCCCTTGTCCCCGTGATGCGCCTTGGACGCGGCCTGCGGAGGCGTGTTTGTGGCAACAGACGTGGCAGTGCTGATGGCGACGTTCTTGCTCAAGACGTCTGAGTAAGTCATTCGCATGGGTTTCACCTCGGCCACCATGCGCGGCTTCTTGGCGTCACGCGAGTGCACACTCTGGCCATTCTCCGTCAGCGGTGCCGGTCGATTGATTTCGAACGGTTTCGCGAGCGTTTCCGGACCACTGACCGCTTCCGGACGCTGGCTCGCGCCCATGCGGTGGCCAGCGGACGCCTCCTCACCGTGATCTACCACCTCGCCGAAGGGCGAGTACGTGCCGGACACATTCGGCGCCCAATTGCCCACCAGCTGGTTCAGGAACATGTTCGTGCTGTAGCCAGCGTCCTGCGACGCGTCCACGCTGCGCGACATGCCCGCGGCCGCCTGGAAGGCGGGATTCGGCAGCGTGTTGCCGGAGAAGAGCTCGTAGTTGTTATACTTGGTCGTATCGTCCTTGGTGTTGTGGTAGAGGCGCAAGTAGCTCCCGTGGCCCATTGAGAGCACGGTGAAATTGTCCTCAGGCGCCACATGGCTACCGCTTGGCGGTTGCTGCTGCACCATTGGATGCACCGGGTGCATCTGGTGCGCCCCCAGGGACATCTGGTAGTCCTCCAGGAAGCTGTAAGACCGTCCTTGCGGGTACGAGTCCCCGTTGAAGGGCCTCACGCCATCTCCCCAGGAGGGCATTCTTTTGTCCTCGTCATCGGCCATCGGGCGACCTAGAAAACGCACACATTCAGCACATTCCTCACCACGATCACGCGCTAGGACACTTGCCTGACTCGAGGAGAGCGTGGAGACGGTGTGAAGATGAGCTTTTTGCACTGAAATTTCAGAGTTTTTCACGCACAAAATGAAAATATTTTACACTGACACAGCGACACAGATGGTCTGAAGGCAGCTGCAAACCCAATTTCTCCGCAAGATGGCGCGCCCAAGCAACGAATGTCAGCGCGAAAAGAGAGAAAGCAAAAGTGTGAGGTTAACAAGAACCAAAAATTCTTACAAGATTTTAGATGGTTTTATACTGAAAATCTAGAAAAATATGGGTGAATTTGAGTGGCCATGGGAATACAACTTTCCTCCGTTCTTCACGTGAGAGAATTTCCTCAAATTTCCCCTGGAAATTAATATAAATCCGTGCATAAACAGTAGATCATCATTTCTTCTATTTTCCTTTTCTTATCAGGATTCAGCCCCACGATAAAACACGGGAGCACCAGCTCAAAGTGTGGATGAACCTGGTCCTCAAGTACCAGAAACACAACAAGGAGGCCGTGCTCACTGTGAATCAGGACAGCCCTCTGTTCTCGAACGATTCTATCAAGCGACAACTTTCCGCGGATGCTCGTGTGCAAGTTCTCGAGGAGTTGCAGAAGGCCGGTAACGCCGCTCCTCTGGCCAATAAGCTCCGATGGGAGATCTATTGGTACACTCTAGACGAGTGGGCAGACAAAATCTACGCCTGGGTCACGAACTGTGGCCTCAACAACACCGTTTGCACGCTGTATGAGCTCACGAATGGAGACAATTCGACGACGGAGGAGTTCTACGGACTGGATGAGGGAGTGGTCAGGAAAGCGCTGAAGAAACTGGAGGAGAAGAGAAAGTGCGAATTATTCGACGATGATTCAGACGGTGTGAAATTCTTCTGATCACTCTTGAATTTCATCAGAATTGATAAAAGGATATCTTCTAGAATAGAAGATAAGGATTTTTTCATATGTATAACGGGTAAGAACCGTAATAACGTAAAAATGTGTACATATATAAATTGTAATCTAACATTTCAGCCAATTTGCATACGAACAATGGCATAATTTGTAATATTTTTAGTTCAATTATTTTATATATGAAACGCCCAGACAAGACCAATTTTTGCTGGGTTAACTGCCTTAATAGAAATGCTAGATGCCGGAAAAGTAATGTTTATTTGCCATTTCCTAATAATCACTTCACATCTTAATTCATTTAACCATTTTTCTAGTTGATTTGAAGTCTTCTCTCGGTTTCGTCTGCGATAAAGATTTCCTTATTGCTCAACAGAATGTTTCTCATGTCATCCTGAAGTTGAGAGTAAGTTTTCCAACTTCCACCCATTTCAGTGGAAAAATTTCCTCTGGGAATATATTCAAAGGCTGATTCCATCGTTGTGTGGATGTGTATCATGTCATAAATCTCCTTCTTGAGGAATGGCTTAAGAATTGTGATGAGTCTCTGTGTAATCCTGTTACCATTGAGGAAATGAATGCCTTTTATGCGCACTGGAAGAATATCTTGGGCGAAGATCACAAATGTTCTCAGCGTCATTGGGTTGACGCGAATGAGATGTCCAAAGGTGAATCCTTGCATGTCCACACAGACCACGTGACCTGGGACGAAGCCTTCAGTCATATGCCAGTAATCAATGAGCATTGTCAATCTAAGAGAAACGACAGGAAGTCATTAAACATCGTGACTTGAGAGTTCGATCTGAGTAGGCTTTACGTTTTCATCGTGGCTGCCAAGTTGAATTTACTCGCACTTGAATCGACTACTTTCAGGAAAAACATTTTGCTGCCATCAGCAGTCGGTTCTGGACATGGAATTTGCACTCTGCAACAAGTGTATGATGTTCAATGTTAAATCTAACTGCATTTTTGTCTTATACTCACTGGCAATTAACTACGTTCTGCACTTCTGGTGCTTCTGCATCTCTGTTGGAAAACATTTTTGGATTGTTTGTCCGATATTTGAAGTAAATATCGATAATTTTCTTAGCATCGTTCACATTGTAGCGTCTTCCATGGAGAAAGAGAGCCGCTTCGTATTCTGCAAATGTGAAAATGTTGTAATTCTGCATTTCATCATCAAATTGAGCACTTTTGCACCTGTTATCATTGGTAGATGTGACTGATTATGAGTCCAATTAACAATTTCTTCCACATCTTTTCTCTTCAACTCTGGATATTGAAGGTAAGCTTCTTCCAGTGATGATGTCTTACCGACCTTGTACATGATAGAATTTAATATTCTACTTTTAGATCACATATAAACTTGGAATATGAGAAAAATCATTCACTTTCGCGTGAAGAAAGAATCGCGACTGATCGAGACTCTATCAATCATTATGGAGTTGTCTTGTATTAATCTAGGCGCTGCTTATCTCGGCATATTTTTTCCCCTTCCTATGTACAATCAGATTAATTAATCAGTTATCTACATTTTTGTTCAACTCTTCATTGGAGGGGCGCAATTTTTCTGAGAAAACACCCGCAGAGTGGCGCCACAATTCGCTCGCGAATGTCCGGAAGAAGGAGGAGAAGGAGAGTGTTTCCTTCCGGAGGCACGAGTGGCGCTGAGTGCAGCTCATCGATTTGTCATTGTCAGGTGGTGTGTTTGGAATTTTTTGCATTGCCGGAGTCGCGTGAGAAATTCTCGAAAAGGAATCGTGCGTGTGCCAAGCAATTGGCTGTGTCTTTTTCTGTTGAAAGGGTTTAATAAACGGCTTCAAAATTAATTACACAAAGTACCACAACGCCATGAGTTTATCGGCGGCGATCTCGAAGGTTGACACAAAACATTAGAAATGTCACAGTGATTTGCTCACAAAGCCCCCTTTACACTCTTATTTTAGCGAATTTGTGTGGTATTTCCCACTGTAGATAGATATTGCAAGTTGCTATGGCAAGCATCAGTTGTAAATTGGTACATTTTCACCTTTATTTTTATTATTTTCACACTCTTGTTTTTCTTCCGGTAGTGTGAGGTTATGTGTGCTGTGTGGCTTTTCCCCCTTTTGCAATGCTTTTTTCGCTTTGTTGCCATCCTCCTGCCCACTCCGGTGACCCGTTTTCACCGTCCGGAGCACGCGAGATGAGTGCCGAGCATGGCTTATGGTGAGAAAACCCCACTCCCGGACGATAAGACCAGATAACCTTGGGGAGCTTTCCTCCAGAGACAACAAGCTTTCCGAGCCGGTTTTTCGTATAATCGCCAGATTAGTTTTTATTTCCTCCAGCTTGAAATATCACCTCAATGCATGATGCCCGACCCTCTCAGTCTTGTCCAAGTCGCGCTCGCTGGCATTTCTCTGCTGAATCTTGCTTGTGAGAATCTTTAATTTCTGACTCTACTGACATCATGTCCAATTCGCAGCCGATACTCTACTCATACTGGCGTAGCTCCTGCTCCTGGCGTGTCCGGATAGCTCTCAATCTCAAGGAGATTCCCTACGATATAAAGCCCATCAGCCTGATCAAGGCGGGCGGAGAGCAACACTGCAATGAATACAGGTAAGCGACAGTTTCTGCTGAAAAGATGTCCTGGAAGGCTTATAGAGGATTCCGGGTGTTTATTAGTTGTGCGAATTGTGCGAAAAATTGCGTATTGTGCCAATATGATAACTCTATCTTTATGATTGGGAGATACAATGAGGTGTAAAATATCCAAATCAATTTTCAATATCAGTTCAGGGTCATTTTTGAAATTAGGGGAAAAGCGAGGCAGAAAAGTTGATGTTAAAAAGAGCATATCATTATGCACTATGAGAAGCTTCAACTCACAGAATTAGCATGATCTCAAAAAACGTATCTGTGAGGAAAACATATTTTATGGGGTAATAAAAGAAACGAGAAAAATATTAGCATTTCGAGGTGGAAATCTTTGTTCGTTATGATTTCTATGCAAAGCATGCTATTTTACGACTATCTTCTGGGTATCTAAATTAAGAATTCTTTATCTGAACTGTCTGAGCTTCTCAGAAATCTCTTTATGATGAATTCACGAGTGATAAATGTAGATTCTCTTAATTATCATAGTATTTGTATTGTGTTATGAGCACTGATAACATTTTTATGATGCCAATTAGCGAAATTTTGGCTTTAATCTCTCACAAAGTAAAAAAATCATGAAATTTAATAAGACTTGATGTCATTACTGACTTTTTCCTTATCTTTGCCAGGGAGGTGAATGCTATGGAACAAGTTCCAGCACTCCAGATAGGTAAGCAAGGAAGGATTTTGGGTGAAAATATTTGTGTTTGCCTGGGAAGAAATTGATGAAAGTGTTCGTTGAAATCCTTGTATTTATTCAATGAATGGCAACAGACAAGATTGTTTAGCACTGCTGAGCATCGTTGCCTATCCTGTTGGCGTCAACACCGAAGAGACTCGATGCTGTCAGGGCGCAATTCTGGAAATTGAGATTGGCGGTGCCCAATCCAGTGCGCATATGGCCCAGATAGTATTGAAGAGAGCTTTCCATGCGGAGAGTCTCACGATATTCCCATGTGATGAACAATTCGTAGCGGATTTGTTCTTCCCACATGATTGGATTCCAAGTTCCGATAGTGTAGAGCGTCTGCAGAAGCGTGAAAGTCGCCATTCTCTGGGCATAGTTCAGAGTACCGAAGTATCCGATTCCCAAGCCTTCTGTCTTGTCACCGTCAGCGAGGGTGGCACAGCGATTGAGTGTCTGTCCGGCTTCTGCTTCGCGTTCCACGAGCCTCTCGCTGAGGGCGATCAGGCAGGGATTCTGGTTTCCAATCTCCTGGGCGCGCTGGTTGATGGCATCTCGGGCAGATTGAGCGGCATCCTTGATGGACACAACAGACGCCCAGGCTCTGTCCAGGGACTCACGATTGAAGTCTGCAATCTCATCTGATGTAGACAGACGCTGGAGCCTGAAGAAGTAATTGAGATCGTAGTGGAAATCGGCAAAGTCGTTGTGGAACTGTCGCAGCTCTTGCGCAAATTCACTCTATAATGGCCAGGAAAAGGGCATTATAATTTGCTTCCTGGAAATAATGGTGTGTTGAAAATGGGGACTCACATTTGCCGCTGCAAAGGCGAAGAGCACCACAAAAGACAAGAAAACCTTCATCCTGGACAGAAACTTCCACCCTCAAAGAGACTGTGAACTCAAGTGAATGCCAAGGGAAGTTCGTGGGAAGTCATTGACAATTGCCATCTCTTAGTTAGTGAGATATTTGATAGTCTTTTATCAACTAACATTTCCTACACACTAATTGAATTGATGAGATTCTCACCCTTGATTGTCGGCAACATGAAGACCAAAAGTGATTGATTTTTCACCTCTTCTCAAATTAAATCGAACATCAAATGTTGATTTAAAAACGACCATTTATTTTTAGATGCATTTTTCTTGAATCCAAGCAATAATGGAATATTCCAGGACGAAATTAAATGGATATCTCTTAATGCCACGCAAAAGGGTTTAAGTTAATAGCCAGTAATCACATAGAGATTGTAATCTATTCCACTGTGTTTTTCCTCTTTATTCCATTTGGATAGATTTAAATGTTAAGCAAAAAACCGAATTGTAATCCTGACATGGCATGCAAAAGGGATGAATGGTTTTTATATGATGGAATTGCACTGCAATTATTCCATTAGAATCACTGAGAAATTTCCAATCAGTTGCACTATTTGCATGATACAATCGAGTTGCTAATTTGTGGAAATGCGTGTTGTCTTTGTGCAGCTTTGAAAGCTGTTTAATTGGATGAGAATTTGCTACACCAATTTACATATATGACAAACCATCGTTTCTGTCTCTTTTCTGTTTCTTCTGAATTGTGCTTAAAGTCACACTGAAAAATCATTTTTAACTCAAACACCAGTGAAATTACATGGAATATGTGTAGAATTGTCATATAATTTTACAAATTTCCCATAATAAAGACCGCCAAATGGGAAAAGTATGTTCTTTTCAATATTTCTTTCTTGTCTTTTCACTGGTTAAATCAATCGTCACATAGATGCAAAACAGAGTGAAAGCAAAGCGAGGATCAAAGACAATATTTTCTCTAATCATAACCCATTTATTTTATAATCTTTTTTTAAAATCACTTTTGGATGTTTCATTGTAAAAATCTACGAAGCGAGGAGGTATTATGCTGTGGCTCTCAAAGTGATCAGCAGTGGTCAATGTCGCTTCTAAGATTATTCACGTCGATGTTGTAAATGCTGGCGACGACCTGGAGGCAATTCTGCATGTTGAGATTGGCAGTGCCCTTGCCGGTGTCCAGCATGTCACGGTAGTAATTGATGTAGTACTCATCGCGGATGTTCTCGCGGTGATCCCAGTTCTCCTGGAGTTCGTAGATGATGTAGTCCTGATTCGTCACGGCGTTGTAGTGGCCGAGAGTGTACATGACGAGGAGCTGGAGGAAGTGGGACATGCGCTGGGCGTAGTTCACGTGGAGGAAGAAGCCGTAGTTCAGAGCGTGATCGTAGTCATTGTGGAGATTGCGCGCGCAGCCGCTGATCTTCTCGCCAGCCTCCTCCTCGAGATCCGCCAGTCGCTGACGGAGGCCAGCGATGCAGGGATTCTCACCCACATTGTTGGCATGGTAGTCGATGGCCTGTTCAGCACTCACTGTGATGAATCTGATGGCATTGACATCGTCCCACACTTGCTCAAGGGCCACACGGTTGGATTCACGGATGTTTTCGCTCACTAACACGCGTTGATCCCTCAGCCAGTAGTCCACCTCCAAGTGGTAGTCATCGAAGTCCGTGTGGAACTGCTCAATTTGCTGCGCGAATTGAGCCTGAAGGGAAAATCACGCTGAATTTTCTCACACTCTCTCTCTCTGTTAGAGGATCACTTGTTTACTCACCTGAGCGGATGCCACGGCCAGGGCGACGAAAACTGCGAGGACCTTCATGGTGGAGTCAAAGCAAGCGAGTATTCCTGCTCCAGTTCCTTCTCGGACGGTGGAAAAGCGGCGAATGTTGACAGATACGGTGCACAAGGTCTCATTTTATTGAATGAACGAGAGGGAGAGTGTATCTCTGGAAGGGAAATCACCCATGTTCAATCAGGCCGATAAGGGTGGGCTCCTTCGATTAATTACCCAACCAATTCCTGTTGCTGAGTTCTCTGCTCAGCCACCTGCGAACTCAGGTGGCCAATTTTGAGCAATCACAACAAGAATCTACCATATTTTCATGAACACGCGCACGGGCATGAATGAAAACTTTCCTAATCACTTCTCTTCAATTAACTCACATTGGCAGATGGACACACGCTGATTGAGTCGCTGTCGATAATGCACTATCTGGAGGAAACTCGTCCGCAGAGACCACTTCTGCCTCAGGATGTTCACAAGAGGGCGAAGGTGCGCGAGATTTGTGAGGTGGTGGCGTCGGGCATTCAGCCGCTGCAGAATCTCGTCGTGCTGATCCATGTTGGCGAGGAGAAGAAGAAGGAATGGGCACAACACTGGATCACTCGTGGCTTCCGGGCCATCGAGAAGCTGCTCTCGACGTCTGCTGGGAAGTTCTGCGTAGGTGATGAGATCACGATGGCAGATTGCTGTTTGGTACCTCAAGTCTTCAATGCTAGACGGTGAGTGTGCGCATGTTTTAACTTAAAGACGCGCTATTCTTACCACTTTTGCTTGGTATTCTCTCTCAGATTCCATGTGGATCTTAGACCTTATCCCATCATTTTGCGCATCGATCGCGAATTGGAGAGTCATCCGGCTTTTAGGGCTGCTCATCCATCCAATCAACCCGATTGTCCTCCGGAGGCCGCCAAATAAATCCACACACGCACGCACCAAACAAATTCAGGTTCAAAATGACACTCAAACTATTCTCTGTTTTTGTCTCTTTGCCAACAGAGTTTTTTTCTGCGCACTCTAATGCGATCAGAGTTGATAAAAGACATTCTAGGGTGGTGTTCTGAGAGTTGCCATCATGATTTATTGCCAGCCTTCTTTTTTTTACATCTTCCATTGAGACTATATTTTGTAAAAGTAATATTTTGACGGTGATTCGCTGAACTATTTTCAGACTGTATGATTGCATTTTCTCATGATGAATATTGTACAATTTCGACGTGGTATTTTAGAAATACCGTAAGATTCACTTTTATGAACATTTGTGCGGAGATTTTTTGCATTTCTCGTTGGCTTTTCAAAGAGAAACAGAGAATAAATCTTGAGCATTTAAATGATTCTTTTCCCATTTAGATTTTGAATAAAAAGTGACATATTTTAAGAAGAAGAAAAAAAAAAGAATTAAAACTACAAAAAATTGCAGAAGATAAGAAAGAAAACGAAGTAATTAGTAGTAAATAGATTTATAAGACAAAAAGAACAAATATTTAGCATATATTTTCGATACCAGATTACCATAAAGATGAAGAAAAACAAAACAGATATACAGTGAAGGCATCAATGCTTGTGTTTTTTTGCTACTCCGAAAAGTCACTTTTCGAAGATTAAAGAATTTATTGGATTCTCGTATGTAATTTGTGTAGAAGAGTCTAACTTGGTAATTTAATTAGGAAGGAAACTAATATTACGTTTTAATCTCATTAAAAAATTATGCGCTATTTTTTTTCAACAAACTTCCAAACGCTGAAAAATCAGAAGGAACAAACACGACAGTGGAAAATTTTTAATATGGTTACCGGAGTGTAAGTGTTAGGAAACTGTATTATAAAAAGTATAATATTTGCTAATGAGTACGATGCAAAGTGAAATTCCTCTTCAAGAGAGGATGATTTTTTTATTTTTGTGAGACTAACTTTTGAGGATAACTTGTAAGTGTATTTCAGGAAGGAGGAAAAATTATTTCTTAAGATTCAACATTTTCTGGTCAAAAGAGTCATTTTTTTTAATCATTTGTGCATTCTTGCAAATCGTTCAAAGGCTTTTTGAATATCTATTCTTCAAGGCAATCTGAATTGCAGTTGTGAGAATGAATTTTTATTGGCACTAGTCTTTTATTCAAGATGCTATATTAAGATTTCTATTATATATTACTTACAATTTGTGCCATACGTTTTCTTGTCAGTTTTTTTGTCTCGATAATTTCACTAAATACCAAATAATGTCTAGGTAGTTTTAATAAATAATTTGCTTCTAGATTTTTTGATTTTCGAAACTGCATTTTATTGATGAATTCGCATTCCAAGCTTTTTAACAATCAATGGTGAAAAGAAGGTGAAAAACACGAAAAACGATGGTATATTTTATCTAATATTGAGTGTTTCTGTTTGATAAGATCAATATATTTGTCACGATAAAGAGTAATATTGATGATAATACTGATAAGGAATAAAAAGTGTGTAATTAAATATGAGCTAGAGTTTTGATCACTACTTCTTTCAATTTTCATCGCTTTCGCGGTAAAAGCACGTGTTGTGAAAATTTAATAGCTTTCCCATGTTGTAATTTGCACCCTTGCGCACTATCGCGCGCCGATAAGATAGTCACAAACTGTGTGGTAATTGGTGCAAAATATAGTAGCTTCCCTTCTCGGAATTACTGTAAGGATATGTCTAATCACGCGCTCCATAAATGGCACAATATTTATTTATAATCAATCCGCTTGAGCGCTGCGAGTGGCAAACTTTCATCCTGTTGTAATCATTTGCTGTTAGGAATGTGTGCTGTTACATGATGAGCAGCGATATCTCATCGAAGTCCAACTTCTATCATCTCTCACGATCGACAGTTGGCTAATTAAAAGAGTGAATTTATATTGGAGTGCCGCGGTTGCGTAACACTTTCGAAAATTCAACTCGATTGCTTTTTGATGTCCCCTCAATGAATTTCATTTGAATGTAATTTAGAATTTCGTTGTAGTCAAAGGCGAGTGAAAACAAATCAATTCACATTGAGGAGCTTCTCCTCAATGTGTGGACGAACGGAACGGAGAAGAAGTCTCTCAAGGTCTCTCGCACGATATTTTAACCATGCTTTTGAGCCACTCTCCAACTCCCATTGGACTTTTATCTCCACAATGTGTCCCCATTTTACTCCGGACCCCAAACGTGAAATGGGTGTATTATGATAAAAAGCACCAACATAAAGAGTATTAATTTATTTCTCATCCACCATCATCTCTTCGACACACTTGTGCTCGGGTGAGCCGTAATGAAGGAGCATTATTTCAGCCTAATGGCCATGTACATCTCAAGTTCTTGCCATGGGAAACTCACGCAATATTGATTTTCAGTCTTTTATCTATGACGGGCAATTTTCATCCAAATAGCATTCATCACCGAGCCACGCAATTGTTGACATACCCATCGAGGGAATTGTTTACTTGTCGAAAAATCCCTTTCACATTGCAGATATACCTTCTTGACTTTTCGACAAGCATGTCCCACTTTTATTTATTTACCCCAAAGATTGTGAGCATGATTATTGATTGATTTTCTTTTCTCATCCCCTCAAAGAAGTCAGACTCATATTTCACGTGATTTATAGCGGCTGAATTCATCACGTTTTTACGATGCGACTTTAAATTCCCCAACTTTAATAAAAAGCGATAAATTTGACGGAAATCATGGAACCAGTGGAACCAAAAAAATGTGCATGGATAAGTGTTGAAATTCTTGGGGAGCGCGGAGTTTGTGAAGCTGTGTTTGTTCAAATTCTTCAGCGTCGCATCTCTATTAGAATTATTTAAACAAACAAAATAAGAGCCAATCTTGGGCCGGGCAAAGAGGGTAATGATCTGAGGCAGAGACCAACACAGCTCCTTCTTTCACGTTTATCGCGATTGTCCATACTTTAGAGAGTGTTGGATTTCACGACACTGTTCAATTCGTCATCGGACGACAAGAGAATTTGTGGAGAAGAGTTAAAGCACAAATGGAGTTGAAGAAAAGTGATAGTTTTTTTTCTTCTTATAAAGCGAAATAGCTTTTCTTTTAAGAAATTAAATGAAATTCCTAATGAGATTTCTTCTTTATCCCAAACTATTCATGAAGATTGAAAATAAAATATTTCTTGCCGTAGAAAAGTCCGCATTAAAAGTTTTTCAGTAGAAAAAACCAATTATCTGACCATTCAAAGACATCCAGGCTTATTATTCAACACTAATATGGTTCTCTTTTGGAGCGTCAGCGATAACGAGGCTTTATGCACTGAAATATTATAGCTCTTGTGCCACAGCTATTGCATGCGAGAGTGTTGAGAAATCACAGAATACTTGGAGAGGAATGTTTATCCTCCAAGTAAAATCACTCCTTATCAGTTCTTCCTCCGAGTGTATTGAAATGCGCGAGGGATTTTTTGAAATAAGTGGTGGAAAACAAACTGCTATCGACGTTCAACCCATAAATGGGAGGTTTTTCACTCATCATTTCTGTCGGCCGCTGCCAATGAATGCCTCGCAAGTCGAATGCCCCGATAGAGTGTACACAGTACATGTGTAATCTCTTGGTGAGGAGACAGAGAGGAAATGAAATATTAATATATTCGGGGTGAAAGGTTAACTGAACGGGGTTCATTTTACTCACAAACTTGCAACTAATCTACACAATGGAAATAGAATGTCATATTATTCTTTTTCCACTTTATCACCAGTCAAATGCTGATGTTGATCAACAACTTGTGATTAGTGGGAAGTATTTTTTTTTCTTCTCTCCCGCATGTGTGTGTGTTGTGTTGAGGCCGAAGAAGGGTGAAAACCACGGACAATTGCGGCCCAATTCTGTGCCGTACTTCCGTTAAAAAAAAAAGACGACAGAAAAAATAACTCCACATGATAAGTATTCGTGGCTGATTTTTGTGGCGAAGAAGACGAACAAATTATACTCTATCGTTTGAGTCTCTCCCCCGGCCATCGTCTCAAGTAGCAATTCATTTTTCTTATCAATTGCCGATACGGGTGTATTTGTGTTTGCTTAAGTACACAAAGTTTATCGTGCTGGATGAAACAAAAAAGCCCCAGCATTCCTCACCTCGTGGGCCCTCTGCCCAATGCCCGGAGAGAGTCTTCAGTGTGTGTGTGTGTGTGTGCGAGAAGAGGGCGCGCGATAAAAATCGCCTCATACTCAAATTACTAATGAACCATCCAACATTTCAGTCTTCCACACATTGCAAGTGGTGAGGAGTCGTTATAACGAAGACAACGTGGAAAAAGACGAAAATGCTTTTGATATGAGAAACGCAGGCAACAATCATGGAAATAATTATACAGACATGAGGCAATTGAGCGACTAAACGCCTCGTTACCAATGCTTCAGTCTCTATGCATTGCAAAATTACTCAAATGTAATAAGGTGCGTTTTTTCTCAATTGCACTGCTTGTCGATATAATTCACGGTTAAGAGATGTTTTCTTGCTTGAGAACCATTAAACGCTTCTTAGTCGTGAACTGCAAAGTATTTACATCATGTGTTAAAATAATCACTTTGGCATATTTTATACTGCAATACAAGTGATTATATTGTTTTATGAATTTTTGAGAAGACTCAGCTTCCGACGCCGTGGCTTTTAAAATCTGCAACTTCCTCAAAATTATGATGTATTTTTAATAATACTGTACAACTTCTGGCTATGGCTGAAAATGTTTGCTCATTACGAAAGTTTAGTAATTGTCGAAATTGAAACCTTTGGTAACTTTTAGGTCTAAAATTTCAGTGTCAAGTAAATCCATTAAAAAGTCATTAAATGCCGTCTCGGAATAACTTTCCCATGATAATAAGGCATTGTCAGCAGAAACTTCGGCACAAGTATTAATAAAATATGATTGTGCATTTTATCATATATAGAATTTGCATGATGCACGCTGGACTTGGATTGCATTGCAATAAATCTCCCCTGTGGTCACATAAATATCACGCCAACTGTGAGTGTGACTCCAGCGACGCCCCTAGAAGTCCATATTGTGACCTTATTTCTCGCCTAGCGTCCTCTCGGAATTCCTCTCCGACTGACAGGGCCCGAGGATGGGTCTCTCTGGACAATAGCGATAGGGTTTGCTGGAATGTTTAGTGCACAAAGGCTAAAAGCAAATTTTTATTGATTTAAGCAAATTGGGTTATTCATTGCGAGAGTGAAACAAGCATATGCTTCACTGTGTTGGCTAAATCTAGGTTTTGGCAGTCAGCTGATGGTATATAAGAAAGCTGTGACGCACACACATATACTATGGCCTCAACCAGGGCAGGGCAACTCCAAATGCTTTACGCCACGCGGCAGAATGTTGAGAATGTCCGGCTATTGTTGTTGAGCGAAGAAATTGTGTAATGAACCATTGAAGTTGATTGGCAAACAGAAATCGCTCTCTTGTCTTATTCCTCTACAAAGCACCGCCCATTCCGAAGCTCCGCCTTCTTCTATAAACAATTTTGACTCTCCCTATTTTTTCTCACGTTTTTCTTTGAGGTCTTTCTTTATTTACTCAAGTTCCTGTAACAGTGAACAAATGAACTAATAATTTTACTCCGTGCCAGGATATTAGTGCTATTTATTTACATTTTGCTCTTAAATCCAACGGTTTGAGCTATTTTGTAATGGAAGTGTGAATGTTCAAAGGAAATAATATTGGCCTAGCCATGATTCAAAGTCTGACCGCGAATGGACTACTATCTTCAGCATGGAGCTTTGCCTCTGTCACAGGTTGGCCATCCCTGAGTGCGCATAATCAAAACAACCTTGTCATTGTGTTGTCTCGCTCTTGCGCCGTTTTCGCTCAGTGGTTTTTCTGTGCCACACTTCACTTCATTGCTCGCCCGCTGAATCGCAGTTCGCAGTTCAGTTTCGTCGTTAGCTCGCGCGCGCGGTTCTGCGTTTTGTCCAACCACAAAAATAGGCGATAACTCATCACCATTCTCTTTCACATTTACAACTCTTTCACATACATCCTCCCTCTCTTCTTTCGCCACGACCACTCTGTGTGAAAGACAGTTCCCTCCCGGAGCGGCCACCTCAGTTTTTGGACACTCTTCACACCATCATCCGAGTTGGGCGTATTTTGTTGTAAAGAGAAAGATATAAAGACAGTTTTCACCGTTTTAAGTGTGTTGCAGACTTGAGAGAATACTGATTGTTGAATCTGTGCAACTGTTTCAAAAGTTCTTACATGTCGTACTGTATGACGTAAGAGAGAAAAAAGACATACTGGAGATAGAACGTCCTTCTGTGTGTCAATATTGTTGATTCTTTCTTTGGTTTCTGTTCAAATCACCTTACTCACTGTCGGATATCGGAGGGAAAGGAGGATAAGATCGAAATATCGCGTGTGTGATCGACTGAGAACATTCAACATCATCGAACATCGACATTCATAGAGCACTGAGTTGTTTCTCTTGTTTTTTTCCGTTTTCGTCTTTTTTA